CAATTTTATTCCAATCAGAGTTATTGATGGTTCATTCATATCCTCAGGACCCATAAAAGATGAGACAATTCCTCTAAGAATGATTACCAATAACGTACATACAGAATTCCTTACATTTGATGTTATTAAATCTCCACTTTATCCCGTCATTCTAGGAATTAATTGGTTAAAACTCATGATCCTTTAATTAAATGGTCACCCTTTTCCATTTCTTTTCCTTCTGACTTTTGCAAAAAAACCTGCTTCCAACATATTCCTATTCTCCAAACTACTCAGGAATCAATTATACCTCCATTCTACTCTGACTTTTCAGATGTCTTTTGTAAAAAAGAACCGGAAACACTTCCACCTCATCGAGCATATGATTGCCCAATAGATCTAATACCTGGTGCTCCCATTCCTTATGGACACATTTATCCACTTTCTGAAAAGGAATTGCAGACCTTAAAAGAATATCTTAATGAAAATTTATGTAAAGGATTCATCAGACCCTCGACTTCACCGGCTGCCTCTGGTATATTTTTTGTGAGGAATAAGGACCAAACCATCCGACCCATTATAGATTACAGAGCCTTAAATAAAATAACCATAAAAAATCGTTATCCTCTTCCACTAATAAATGAATTAATTGAAAGGTTAAGAACTGCAACTATATTCACTAAACTCGACCTCCGAGGCGCATATAACCTCATTAGAATAAAACAGGATGATGAATGGAAGACCGCCTTCCGGACTAGATATGGTCTCTATGAATATCTAGTGATGCCTTTTGGGCTTTGTAATGCCCCTGCAACATTCCAACATTTTATAAATGATATCTTTAGAGATCTTTTGGATGTTTGTGTTATTATCTACTTAGATGATATTCTAATATATTCTAACAATTTGGATGAGCATAGGAAGCATGTAAGATGGGTTCTATCTAGATTGAGAACTCACAAATTATTCGCTAAACCAGAGAAATGTCTTTTTGAAGTTACTGAACTCTCCTTTCTTGGATACATTATTTCACCTCATTCTCTGAAAATGGATAACTCTAAAATCGAATGTATTATTAACTGGCCCGTTCCTACTACTACAAAAGAATTGCAACGATTTCTTGGATTTGCAAACTTCTATAGAAAATTCATTAGAAACTTCTCAGAGGTATCACATCCACTTAACCACCTTAACAGTACGAAACGTCCTTTCAAGTGGAGTAAAGATGCACAAGCTGCCTTTGACCTATTAAAAAAAAGATTTACAACTGCACCTATTCTACAACTACCTAATCCAACATTCTTATATATCCTTGAAGTCGATGCATCTGATACAGCTATCGGAGCAGTTCTTTCTCAACAAAAGACTCCTCAAGATCCACTTCATCCAGTTGCCTTCTTCTCAAGATCCTTGAGCTCTGCTGAAAAAAATTATCCTATTGGTGAAAAAGAATTATTAAGTGTTAAAGCTGCCTTTGAAAATTGGCGCCATCTATTAGAAGATACAAAACAACCTATCATAGTCTATACAGACCATAAAAATCTTGAATATCTTTATACTAATAAAACCCTTACGGCTAGACAAGTTAGATGGAACCTATTTTTTAACCGGTTTAACTTCCAATTAATATACAGACCTGGAACTAAAAATAAAAAGGCTGACGCTCTTTCTCGAATTCCTTCTAAAACTTCTATTGATGTTTATCCTCCTAACAAAATAATAGGGATCCTCTCTTCTCTTCAGGATGACTTAAGGAACTTGAATCAAAAGGATCTTGAACTTCCCAAAACACCTAATTTAACAAAAAAAGGATGGTATATTTTACTTTAAAAATAGGATTTATATTCCTCCCATTCTTAGGAACAAATTACTCAAAATGGTTCATGATTCACCCCTAGCTGGACATCCTGGAATAAAGAAAACTCTTGAACTAACTTCACGATATTATTGGTGGAATCGCCAAGATAGAACCATTGAATTATATGTCAAAACTTGTCCTATCTGTCAAAGGTCCAAATCTGAACATAATCAACCTTTTGGATTACTACTTAACTTACCTATTCCAGAAAAACCTTGGCAATCCATTTCTATGGATTTTCTTGTTGACCTTCCTCCATCCCGACAGTTTACCACTATTCTTGTTGTTGTGGACCGCTTCACTAAAATGTCCCATTTCATATCTTTAAAAAAATTACCCTCCTCCGTAGAATTGTCCAAAGTCTTTATTGATAATATTGTAAAGCTTCATGGTCTTCCAGAAGAAATTATTTCTGATAGGGGGACACAATTTACCTCCAAATTCTGGAAAGAGATGTGTCTCTCTCTTCAAATTCAACGTAAACTCTCTTCTGCCTATCATCCCCAGACTAATGGGCAAACAGAGAGAGTTAATCAATGTTTGGAACAATATCTCCGATGTTATTGTTCATACCTGCAAGATGACTGGACCACTTGGTTACCTATGGCTGAATTTTCTTACAATAATACCATTCTAGTACGAAAATGACTCCTTTTTTCTCCAACTATGGATTTCATCCGTCCTCATTTCCTCATTTCCCATCCCATCTAATTCTTCATCCAATCCCACGGTTACTTCAAAAAATGAATTTATGTCTTCTCTATTCCTTAAATTACGGGAGAATCTTCAACTCGCCCAAAACTACCAGAAAAAGTTTTTTGACCATAAAAGAAGAATTCCCCCTCCTTATAAAGTGGGGGATATTGTCTGGCTCTCTTCAAAAAATATTACCACAAACCGTCCTTCAAAGAAATTGAGCTCACTTTTTCTTGGTCCTTTTCAAATAACTACAATCATCAATGATAACGTTGTTAAATTAAAACTTCCTCCAAGTTTTAAACTTCATCCAGTATTCCATGTCTCTTTGCTTAAACCACACATCTCTGATCCTTTCCATAGAGAAATAGTAACAACTCCTGAACCTATCATCGTCCAAGGTGAAGAAGAATATGAAATTCATAAGATTTTGGATTCTCGTATCCACCGTGGCTCTTTACAATACCTTATCAGATGGAAAGGTTATGGAGTTGATGAAGATACCTGGGAAGATTCATCTAATGTTCATGCAAAGAGATTAGTTGATGCTTTTCACAAACGCTACCCCTCTAAACCGAAATAAGTGCACCCAGAGGATGCCCTATGAGAAGGGGGTACTGTCAGGTATACCTAACATTCATGCTGCCGCCGGAACCCACTTCCGGGTTCACGGCGCTTAGCTCCGCCCTTTTTTCTGACGCGGTCTTTCCACGATACTTAGGAAGACCGCGCCAGATTCAAAGGGCTGGATTATTCACTCAGGTGCGGCAGTAAGATCAGCTGCCCCACTCGATGCTACCGGCTCCTCTCTCAGACCTCGGGTTGTAAACGGATTTCTACCTTCTCATCCCTCAGACCTCGGGTTGTAAACGGATTTCTACCTTCTCATCCCTCAGACCTCGGCTTGTAAACGGATTTCTACCTTCTCATCCCTCAGACCTCGGCTTGTAAATGGATTTCTACCTTCTCCTCTCTCAGACCTCGGCTTGGACAAACGGACTTCCTTTCTCTCACTACTAAACTGCAGTTTGTTAAAAGAGACTCCTTCCTTTTCCTCCATTGGGTGAATTAACCCTTCCAGTGCCAGAGTGCTTCTAAGTTAAGTAAATCTCTTGTCAAGGAAAGCAAGTCAATCAATTATTATAGTATTTAATTTCTCTAAACTCTCTGTTGACAAAATAGCATTGCATTTTTTCCTTGCATGTGTATTTAAAGATACAGTCTACCTTGTTCACTTCAATAAAATAAAGGAGGTGAAACTTATTGTTTCTGCAGTTGAGTTCCAATTAAAGAGACATTACACAAAAGCATCACACCCTGTAATTATGTTTCATTGATTAATTATAGTAGAGACAATGTAGTCCAGGCACGCAAGGTCTTTTTCAAGGAACACTTTAGGGTCAGGAAGAACAAACATGTATTCCTGACCCTATAGTGTTAAAACCATCATCTACCCACCTCCCCATTGCCTCCCTAAATATAGTAAAATCTGCCTCGTATTCAAGTCTGAAGCTGCTGGCTCTGCCCTTGAAAGGCCTCTGTCTGCGGACATCACCAGAAGTGGTGGTCTGAGACAATCACAATGCTTCCCTATAGGATTGGCTGAGAGTGTCAAGGAGGCAGATCATGGTCAGAGCTAGCACAAATCAAACACAGCCCTGGCCAATCAGCATCTGCTCATAGAGATGAATTGAGTCAATGCATCTCTATGAGGACAGTTCAGTGTCTCCATGCAGAGGGTTGAGACTCTGCAGCACTGCCCAAGGAAGCAGCTTTAGCAACCATCTATGGAGTGGCCAGTGGAGTTATCACTAGGCTATAATGTTAACACTGCATTTTCTCTGAAAAGACAGGGTTTACAGCAAAAAGCCTGAAGGGAATGATTCTACTCACCAGAACAAATTCAATAAGCTGTAGTTGTTCTGGTGACTACACTGTCCCTTTAAGCAGCAGTTTTATTGGAAAAACATGGCAAACACCACTCCTGTTTTATACTGCTATCTAAAATAATTAAGCCAATCTTCTTCTTCCAAAATCCAGATATAAGGGGCAAGGATTCCAAAAGTGGAATCTGAAAAACTAGGTACAGTGCATGAGAGTGTGGATCCCTCCTTTGTTTGCAATCAGTGACTTAATTGGCAGGCCTTGAATTTGATGGATTCTGTGTTGTGGATGAACTTAAGGTTAACTACAGATCGCATCTGCTTCTAAAACAAACCTATAAAAATACATACAATATATATGTATTTTTATAGGTGTGTTTTAGAAACAGATGGACATTCTGTTAATATTATAAAATGTAAATAAAGCTATAATAATGGGCTTGTTCCTATGTGACGTATGTTTTTCATTTTTCTCTTTTAGCAATTGATGTGTCGTATTCCAATCAATTTCCGTTTCATCCATGGGACATTATTTTAATATAATTTACAATTCTGTGTGTTGATGAAGCAAGGCAAGTTTCATTATGGCTTCTTGCAAGGAAAAGAAATATGACATCGGAAAAGTGTTATCTGATATTCATTTAGATGTGTATTATTCCAGTTTTCAAGATCACGGTTACCAAACTATTTCAGACTGTGAAACATTAAATCATGAAATTCTAAAAAATATTGGAATATCACTTACTGGACATAGAAAAAGAATTCTTAATAAAATACACATCTTGTTGGGGAAATCTGGAGATGTTGGATTTTCTAATACTGAAACAAAATATAAAGAAGAAAGCACTTTCTCACAAGAATGTACAATTTATAAAACCGTAGATTTGCAGTGCGATAACCCCAATTTTGATAATTCCATAATGGATACAAATTGTAAAGGAGAAGACGAAGGACTTTGTGACCTAAACAATCTCCCTTTGCAACTGGAAGATACATGTGAATCTAAAGAAAAAGATCAAATATCTGGCTATGATGTGAAACCTGATAATGTGCTTGACAATATCGAACATGATGACTCACAGAATTTAGGATTTTTTGAATTTTTAGGGCCTATGGTTGAAAATGAGGTATATGATACATTTGACAACGCTTCTCCACACAAGCATCGTAAGAGTGGTCCAACTCGATCATTCATACTTAGAAACAGACCTGTCCCAGAGTTGCCACACTCTGTACATAATAACATCAAACAGAGGTAAGTTGTCTAAAAAAAATACTCCTATATTGTGTACATTAGCACTGTATCAATTGCATGGAAATTAAAGAACAACATATTACATTTAAAACTTTTGACAAAAAAGTGTTTGTTTTTACAAAAGATGTCTGAAGTGCCTACTCATTTGAAATCTCATCTTCTCCTAAATTTTTAAAGCTTTAAGTAATGCTTTCCATGTTTTCACATGCAGCTAATGTTTTAGAACTTTGTACTGCACAGGTAATGATGTCATCGGTGGCGTCGCTAGGCTGGGGCCAGAGGAGGCCATGCCCCCTCCTACATCATGCTGTTCTCCCCTTGGGCCCCCCCAAATGCCAGCAACTTGCTGGCCATGTGTTTAAATTATATTCCCTCGGGCTGTAACAGTGTGTGACAGCCCGAGGGAATGCAGGACAGAGGGGCTGAAGCGCTGGGTGTTTTCAGCAGCTTCCCCGGCACAGGCTACGCCCCCAAATTAAACCTCGCCTCCCATACATAAGCCCCACCCCTGTCATTAAGCAGCAGACCAGGCTGCTGCTGTAATGGCAAGAAGATGGTAGGCTTGATATGCTCAGGTGTGTGTGTGTGTGTGTGTCTGTCTGTGTCTGTCTGCTAGTGAGGAAGCTTGTGTGTGTCTGTGTATGGACTCAGCAGTGTGTGTGTGCATGGACTCAGCAGTCTGTGTCTGTATGAACTCAGCAGTGTGTGTGTGTAGTGTTGGGGTGTAGTGTTCATATAATAAACCCATTCCATTTCTGTTTTTCTAGTTTTCTTGATAAAATCTCCCACTCTCCAATTATTTTTTATGATAGTAATACCCATGAAGGTGAGATATTTGGGATTTTTTTTTCATGTATGCAAAAGTGAGATGATACAGAAGGTTTTTTTATATCCTTTGTCTATGTTCCTGCGATGCTCTGCTATTCGTGTTTTTAATTGTCTGGTCGTATGTCCAATGTATTGGAGGCTGCATGGGCATTCCAATAGATAGATTAAATTTTTGCTACTGCAGTAGATTACATCTTTAATATTGCATATTTTACTAGTATTTGATTAAAATGTGGTTCTCAATTTCTCTGTTGGATTAGATCTTCTGCAGGCTAGGCAGCAGTTACATTTGTAAAAACCTTTTTTCGATATTCTAAAATTACGGATGTTATTTGGGATGTCTTTGGTGTAGTTTTTGGTGAGGTGCATTTTCAAATTGGGTGTACTTCTAAATACTATTTTAGGTATAGTTATTAAAGAGTTACTCTAACCTTCAGTGATTTGAAGTGGTCATGGTGGTAGGAGTCTGAATGTTTAGTGTTTTGCATCTGTCGTCCATGTGCACTACATGGTGACAACAAACGTTTTAATCTTCTCATTTGTGAACAAAAAAAAATCACATGTCGTACATAGGTATAATAAATAGATGTATGAATTAGCAAATTATGTTCATGAAATGTCACAAAGAAAAATCTTTTTAATTTAATGCCTGGATATTTTTCCAAAAGTAAGGAAAATGTGATTTTACGTTGTACATGCGAATTAGGACTAATCCAGAAAATGGAACTCGTCCTAAAATACAAGGATGTTTCTAAATGTAAAAGTAAGATATATTTAATTTAAAGAAATGGTTAAAAAACAAAATACATACATGGTAAATCAAAGCTTTTTGCTGATATTCAAAAAATATCTAAAAAAAATACATCTTCCATATACAAAATTTTATCCAAAATAAGTAAACGATATGCTAATGAAAGCAATGAGATTGTTATGTCTGAATAATATATATAAAATGTAAATACTTAAATATGTAATACAACACTACAAGAGAAGGAGAAAATCGTTAGACAGGGAAATGTGTTAACATGAAAATCAAAAGACAAAAAATGAACGCAAATTAGCTAAATTGGGATAAAAAGTGCATACATTATCTTTCATTTGCAAATTGAATGTCCCTCTACTATCTACATGTTTGATAGTTTGGTCAGTCTCCCCTCCCCATCAAATTATTTAAATTTGTATCTAAATTTGTTATTTCAAGATAATAATCTGAAAATATATATATATTTTTTTTAAAATGTAGTTCATAAAATGAATATGTAGTAGGAATGCAGTCCACATATTTTCCAAAGTGTGAGCAACTTCTATAGAGAGACCCGTCTCAAATTATCATTACCCTATAAAGAAACTTTCCATGTGCCGTGACCTCTACAGCCCATCATAGTGGTTGTGGTGTGAAGAATTCCCTGGCACTATTCCAGTGTTATCTGCCAAATCAATATAGCCCAGTTTGACAATTTTCTGGGTCCTATAATTAGGAATTAATTGGTAATTAACATCTGTGGTGATGGGTTATAGTTAGAGTGATTTACAAAGCATGGCATATATAATAGTGAGTGTATGGGTACTCTCTGCAATGATGCAAAGCTGTTATAGGTTTAAGAGTGACCCTTTAAAAAATGGATGTCTTTCATAGATAATCGTTTACGCTAGGAAGAAGACTTGAGCTTTGTTAAAATGCTTAAAAGAACATTTTATCATGTTACATTATTTATTGATATCCCTTTACAATTTCTCAGTGTCAGTGCATGTTTATATCAGAAAGAAGTGTTATATAATATGCAGCTCATTCAAATTTCTTCTTCAAAGCTCATCAAAATCATCAAACAACCCTACTAAAGAAGAAAAGACACCTCCAATCTCACCGTATGAAGAAACCTTTTTTAACTTACCAGAATTGGTAAGTAATTGTTCATTGTTTATCAGTATAGTTATTGGTGGTGAATTCAACCTAATGGTCTTGGTAATAGAGACTATACTTTTCATTTTTATGTTTTTTCACTTATGAACTACATGTCTTTTGCATATATGTAACTTTTCTAAAATACTGTTTAAATTAAATGGGGAAATGATAATATTGATACAAATTATGTTCAAACAATCCTCTACGCAACCAAAGTGGAGCTCTTGCTGAAGATGAGGGAGTGCACCGATCTTGGCTCCTTTGATACTATGGAATTAAAATTTCCATATCAGTCTCAGCTGTATCCAATCAGGAATACATTAATTAGCTGAGAGTATTGGGGTAACACAATCACTGAAACAAATTATGACTATTATTTTCTGGCATTAGTGTTTTCTCTTGTTCTCTGTCACCTGCCTCTTTCCTTAAGCTTTTTTATAGGTTTCTCAATGATTTGCACTTTGTCCCCACCGTTTTCCCAATGTGAATTGGTAACGTGATATATCTAACATTGATGGCATTGTACTTGTTTTGTAAGCTTTAAAAACAGATCTTACTAATACACTATAAATGGTTTTTAATTGGAGTGCTTCTCTCTCTTTGAAAAAAATTGGCAGTATTACACTATATGCTTTTTCATTTGTTTCTATTAAGGTGCTACTGTGTATCAAATAAGTATGTGTGTGTGTGTGTGTATATATATATACACAAAAAAGGATTGCCACACCCCTACCAATAGTTGAATAGTCTTGGGAAAGCACTTTTCTTAATTGAAAAGATTTATCTAAGGCTATCTCAGGAAGTATTCCGTTAACAGTAAACACAACTAAAATACAGAGGACACAGCTGTAGATCTACAAAACAAAAAATATGATAGTGTAATACAGTATGAAACACAGCTTTATGATCAGGCAGAACTGCACTCATGGAATAAAGACATATCATATTGCTTTACGATGCCTCTCCTTGGAATTCTTGGGGGCTAATCCAAAATTCCTTCACTCCTGATGATGATCACCGCACCGTCATGAAAAGCATTTTGTGTTTTGTAGCTCTACAACTGTATCCTCTTTATTTTTGGTTGTGGGTATCAATTATGCCTGGAGCGAGTCATTTTGCGATTTGAGAAATATAGTGAGCATTTATTAACACAAGAGACTGAGGAATTGTTTAAGTATTTTATAATTATACAAGTTTAATCTCCTGTAGATAGCTATTTCACCATGGCGTGTTAATGAATTATGTATGTTGTGGTACTAACGCCAGGCGCTGACTTTTCTTTGTTAATTACACTTAGATAAAATAAACTTTCCCTTTTCCTTTTTACCTTTATCAGAAATGCATGTTAGATTTACTTGATCCTTAGAAGAAAGATTTGCCTACTATGAGCCAATTTGATGTATTAGTTTTAATTAATTACCAGATGGGATTCCCTATTTTAAAACTAACACTTTTTAAAAGAAAACACATTCAACCTATTAGAACCCTAGAATCAATGTGGTCATGTTAAACTTTAAGGTGGCTTCAGGCACACAATTATTCCACAGCACACTAGTGGAAAATAAAACCTACTAATCTATTCAAGAATATTACAAGTAAACCTCTTAACTGCTAAAAGAAATTACAATATGTTGACATGAAATATGTGGTTCTCTTTATGGCATTCTGTCAGTTAAAATATGTATATTATATTGTACAGCTATTTATTAAATATAATTTAAATTATATCAATGTTGGCTATTAGGTCCATAGCCTTAGATACAGGAGATGGCTGAGTCATACTTTCTCTAGGGTTTTATATTCAGTTAAGATTAATTATCCTGACTGAACCCATTAGAGATAAATGGGATGAAAAGAGATGTAAAGAATAAATTAGTTTTACCACATTTATAGTTTTACTTGATTTATGTTTTACTTACTGAAAGCTTTTGAAAATTATATATTTGAGCAGTACACATCACTCAGAAGGGAACAATATGCTCATGTATCTACTGCATATACTATAAAGTCATGGGTATTATCTTAATGAACACACTTTCTATGAGAAACAACTGAACATCTAGTCAAGTGAGGAGGAAGTGTACAATTTTCAAAACACTTTGCCGTCTGGTTAATAAGCATTTGCAAAAATATTTATGATTACAATATTTTAACCCGTTAGTGACCAGACCGTTTTTCAATTTTCTTACTGTTAAGGACCAGGGCTCTTTTTACATTTCTACTGTTTGTTTTTAGCTGTAATTTTCCTTTTACTCATTTACCGTACCCACACA